AAACAATAAGTAGACATTAGGGTTCATTCACACAGAACATGTGTTCAACACACCCCTTCTGCCATTTGGTGCCAATGGCAGAAGGGGTGTCTTGAACAGGTTTTCTCAGTATTTGTGTCCAAATGCATTTATAAAAACCCATTTCTCCTCTCTTCTGAAATATTTCAAAAATCCTGAAGATACCAGTTAAAAATAAGCTTTCCTGATATTTTTTGTTTTTGAGTGGTGATTTGACCAAAAGCCCCTTGCTGAAAAAAATTCACTTCAGGTCCACTTGTGTTCCTTTTTAAATCAGAATCTATTTTCTAAAAAATATTGGGAAAAATTGCATAAATGAGCTTCTATGCTTGATTTTTGCAAGGGAACAGGAAGCAACGGTCCTGAGTCAGAATCTCAGTCCCATTACAAACTGATGGTAAAAAAATAACTACTTGTTTTTAAGATAGTGTTTTTTTAAAAAAGCATGAAGGAGTCAAATCAACAAACACACACACACACAAAGACATTACCGAAGCAAGATGGCTACAGTTAAGCTAAGTTATTCATAAACACACACACACACACACACACACACACACACACACACACACACACACACACACATAGAGCAGTACCTTGGTTTATGAACGCCTCAGTTTACATAATATTTGGTTTACGAACCGAAATTCATAGAAAATAATGCCCCGATTTATGTTTTTCCCCTCTCTTTTCTCCACTGTACGAAAGGGTTTCCCCAGGACACATTGCGCCTGGAAGTTTCTAGCGCCACCTCCATTCCTAGCGGAATCTGCATATTGGTTAACGAAATGTCCGCATTATGTAACGTCCCAGAGGATGCATTAATTTCATAAACCGAAGTATGCCTGTATCTGTATATAACTTAGCCTACCTGTAGCCATCTTGCATCTGTAATTTACTTTGCTATATAAATGTGTAAACCTGTTATAATGAGGGTTTTTGCTTAAGCAGACAAGAATGAAGGAGGGAGGTTGCTTGAATTCCTTTTACTTTGCAACTAAATGGTTTAATTAGAAATTTGTCCTTGAAGAGACGGGCACCTAGCATGGAACCAGGAAGAATGAATTATTATCAACAGTCCAGACACCTGCAGACCCTCCCCTTTCCTCCTCTCCTCGCCATCTCTTGCCTCTCTCTTCTCATGTAAACTTATAAAAGTATATTCTGTAAGAGCACTGCACGCTCTTTTCCGCATGTTTGGTGGACAAAGTAGTGTCCATTATCTTTGCATTCTTTCAGCTGAAAATAAACAAATATATATCGGATTTCCCCATCCCTGGTCAATTGAACAATATATCAGAGAAAGGTTAATGGCCAGAAATTAGTTCTGGCACACTTCAAGCAGAAAAAATAGACAAATCAAGACAATCTTCACATGCTGTAAATGGGGGACAAAATACCAAGGAAGTCCCTCCACAGTCCAGTACTTTTGACAGAACAAATGTTCCACCTAAATAAGCCCTTATTCCTTGTCCATTGTACTAAACTGCAGCAGGAACATTGTTGCCTTTTTGCTCACCACAAAAAAGTAATACAGTATTTTGTAAGCAATACTGACAATAACAATAGAACATTGGCGGCCAGGACAGATATCAGAGATCGCCCATAATCAGAACTGAAAGGAGAAAGGTAATTTAGCCAGTCTTTTATAGTTTGTGAAATCAGACTTTAGAGGATACTGAAACTCAGTTGCTAAACAAAGGAAGCTAATTTCCTAATTCTGAGAGGCGTGACAAACATCTACCTGTGATGTTTTCCTTAGTTTCTGGTTTGAGTTTCCCATACTTGGCTGCAAGGTGAATTGTTTAATCCCCATCCCCAAAATTGGTCCAGATATACTGTACAAAATATCTTATCTAATATTCAACAGAAGACTGTGACTCCAGTGGGTTTTACAAGTAAGTAGTCACCAAATGGAACACATTTTAAATTTTTTTTATTTTACTGTGTACATTCATAGTTGTTGTTTGTCACAGTAGTAGCTAATAATTTTTCCTGAAAAGGTGTGATTTAACTTGACAATATCCCTTTAAACTTCTGAATCCTTAAACTTAACTATGGCATATTTACTCTCCCCCCTTTTTACTTTCTCTTTGTTATGAAGCATGTGGACCATCTGTGCCTCTAATATGTTGTTTTTAAATAGCTTATATGGAGTGATTCAATGCTCCTTTATTCACTTTTGGTTTTGGAAACCTTCCTTTTCTTTAACATTTTAATCTGCTAGTTCTGAAACTTTCAAAATTATTCCATATTTTATTAGCTTTAATACTGGTTTCTGCTCATATCCCAGGAGTTAGGATCTTCAGACCTTTTTGTAAATAATATACTCTTGAAGGCTTACGAGTAATAAAGCTGATCACTTTGGCAGTTTGAAGGCAGGATGAGCTTCAGCTGCACTTATACAAACTGCTACTACAGAGGGTGTTGTTCTCTCTTTTGGTGAAGGGGGAATAGGCCAAAAGCACTGCAGACAATAATAATCTTCAAAATTACCACAAGTACCATGTCTGGGTGATGCAAAAGTGATGTGTGTCAAAGGTTGGCCAACTGCCTATATAACAGGTTATTCCATTCATTTAGCATTGTACTATTGAACACCCTTTGTTGTTACCTGCCTCCATCACTTGACTTCTAGCTCCTGGTGACCCTATGAAATAGCGACCTCCAAAAAAAAGGAGGGGAGAGATACACATGCCATGTCCTTACACAATACAAATGCAGGAGAGGCCATGCACCAATACTGCAGAAAAATTATAAACGAGTCCCAAACATTCATGGCAGAAGTCTGCCAGGTATGCTTCTTAAGGTGAATTCAAATTCTGGCTACAAACAAACATTGGGGGAGGTGTAGTTTCAAATTCAAATTGGGCTGGAATTTTTCACCCAGCTCTTCAAACAGTCACCAAATAACTTGCATATACCTTCCCCGCCCCCCTCCAAACTGGCTGCTCATAAAATGCAAGGTTCCTGTTTGGCTGGGGTGTCGAGGAAACAGCAATACAAAAAATTTGCAGCTCCTATAGAAAAGCTAGGCTCAGAATTTGTCTACTCAACAGGCAAAAGAAGCCAGGATTCTGTAATTACCATCCCTGCTCAACTCTTGCAAAACCAAGCCTGCTGCGTCATCTATTAAGAGAACCTATACAGTATTTTATTTAGTCTTCCTCTTTTTTTGGTTGCCTTTAGTTTTCCATAACATTATTGTCTTTTCCAGTGAGTCTTATCTTCTCATGATGTGCCCAAAGTTCAATAACCTCAATAGTCATATTTGCTTCTGGAGAGAGTACTAGAGTTTGCTTCTTGACCCACTTGTTGTTGATGCTGTTGCAACTTATATACTGCTCCATAGTGCTTATATACTGCCCCTCCCCCATAAGCTGGGTACTCATTCTGCTGCCTTGGAAGGATGGAGGGCTGAGTTGACCTTGAGCCAGCCACCTCAGCCCTTCAGGGTTGAACTCAGGTTATGAACAAGGACTTGACTACAGTGTTCCACTTAACCACTGTGCCATGGATGATGCAAAAGTGATTAAAAACAATTGTTTGCCTAGCCACCCATAGTATTGATAAAGCTCTCTTCTGACATATTTCAACTGAATCAAAACATTTTCTGTCAGCTTTCTTATCTGTCCAACTTTCATTCAAAAAAAATTCTGTCAGCTTTCTTCGCTGCCCAGCTTTCACGTCCATACATAGTAATCAGAGATATCATAATACAGATAAACTTCACCTTGGCCTCCAGTAATACATCCTTGCAGTTCAGGATCTTTTCTAGTTGTTTAATATCTGTCCTTCTAAACTAAAAATAAATCTAAATAAACATATCATTTGGGGGGCAACCCTGGCTGCAAAGAGTGGGGTCCGCATCTTGGGGGTACACCTGGACCCAACGCTCACCATGGAAATGCAGATGGCGTTGGTAGTCCGCCCCACCTTCTTTCCCCTTTGGCGGATTGCCCGGCTGCGACCCTACCTCGACACGGGGGCACTCACTACCTTGGTCCATGCACTCGTAATCTCAAGATTAGACCACTGTAATGCACTCTACGTGGGACTGCCTTTGAGACTGATGTGGAAACTTCAAGTGGTGCAGAATGCAGCGGCCAGACTCCTTACTGGAGTGAGAAAATACCAGCATATTTCTCCTATTCTGGCCATGCTGCACTGGCTGCCCATTCGTTTCCACATTGACTTCAAAGTTTTAATGCTTACCTATAAGGCCCTAAACGGTTCAGGACCTCGATACTTGACGGAACGCCTGCTCCCACCTAGATCTACCCGGATCACCCATGCAAGTCAGGAGGTGAGGCTGAGGAGCCTGACGCCGAGGGAGGCCCAGAAGGAAAAGACACGAAATTGGGCCTTCTCGGGGGTGGCTCCTCGCCTCTGGAATAACCTTCCTCCAGAGATTCACGCGCCCCCCACGCTGGGTACTTTTAAAAACCAATTAAAAACATGGATGTACACTCAGGCCTTCCCCCCTGTCAACACTTGACTCTCTTCTCTTCCTTGCTATTTATTATTTACTATATTTTTGCATTGCATTTGTAACTGATTGTTTTGTAATGTTCTTGTGCTATTTTAATGTATATATGTTGTATTGGAAGCCGCCCGGAGTAGTAGAATATACCAGATGGGCGGGAAATAGATAGATAGATAGATAGATAGATAGATAGATAGATAGATAGATAGATAGATAGATAGATACATGCATCTTATACATTTTTAAAAATGCATGTCATTGTTCTCATAAAAATATTTCTTACTCTCTTCCCATCACAATGTGAAATGACTTTGGCCTTGTCTGAGCCCTTTGGAGGGCCTTCTTTCTCCATTACCTGTTTTAACTGTAGCATATTGTTCAAAGCATATATTATGCATGAGGACTAGAGATGAGGGTATTCGTACTGTATACAAATACCCCCTCACAGGTGGACATAACGAGGGTCCAGCCCCCTGGGGCCGGACCATCCACTCACGTTCCACTGTTGCCGCAGGCTCCGGACTCCCTTCCTATCGCTCCGGAGGAAACAGTCTGCAAGCCATTCCTGGAAGGAGGCAGAAGAATGAGCTTCACTGTAAGGTCAAAGAGTAGTTCACAGACCGTGAGCTCCGGAGCGACAGGAAAGGATCACGGAGCTCATGGCAACAGCGGAAGGTGAATGGACAGTCCAGCCCCAAGGGGCTGAACCCTCGTTATGTCCACCTGTGCAGGGGTATTCGAATCCATATATGAATACGAATATCCCCATCTCTAATGAGGACCATCAAATTTTGAGGCACACCAGTTTCTATTAGAACAGTTCATAGCTTCTCATAAACCATATAGCTGCAATCTATAAAGCACAGGCTGACTCTTTTCTAAAATGCTTTGTTCCAGTAACCAGCATATGCTTGAAATATGATTTCTAGTGCCTCTTTCTTTTCTGAATCCAGAATGCACATCAGACTTTTCTTGCTCTCTATGTGGTAAAAGTTTTTGATGCAAAAGCTTGAACATCACTTGCTTGCAAGGGAAATTAATGCAAAAGTAATGCACTCTTTGTCATCTCCTTACTTGGAGACTAGAATATATATATTGAATGTTTCCAGTCTGTGGGTCTATTCCTGGTGATTCATTTCTTCTAATTGATTTAAGAGTGGCTTTTGCTTCACTTTCTAAAATTACAGCTTTCTCGCCACAGAATTTTTCTTTAAAGAATTGTCCCTACATCTCTTGTTTAAATTTCCTATTGATTTCTGATATTTCTATTGAAGAGATCTCTTTTTTCCCCTCTGTTGTTGTTCTCTTCTATTTTTTGCACTCTTTACTGTTATTGTTCTCTTGGTCTTTATGTGCATGTTGCTGAAAAGACTGCATTTGCAATTCTGATCCTATGTCATCTATTTATTTTGCTTCTTATTTGTGTTTAACTATTTTAAGCACTTCATCAATGACTCATCTAAGTTTTCTTTTCTGTTCTATTGACAGTGATAGTTGTCTTCTTGAATTCTTCTCTAATAATATCTTAGGGCATCAAACAGTCAAAATTGAATTGTCATTATCTTCTTATTCACAGTATTAACAAAAGTTAGCTTGAGGGTCACTATCATCGTCTATGAAACATCCTCTGCCACTGTCAGCTTCAACCACTGCTGCCACCTAGCAGATGA